AAGCTCTGATGATGGAATTCCAGAGATAGACAGTTCTGTTAGGAGTTTCATCGAACAGGTTACAGGCAGATTTGAGGTCATTATTGATTGCATAAAACCTGATGATTTTAGTTGCGTAGAATGGGTCATGGGAAAGGCAGGACTTGATTAGCAAAGCATGAAATGATTTGGTTCTTGAAAGGGTGTGATTTAGCTTTGAGAGTTCAAATACAAGCGACTTAGAATGAACCAACATCAAGTCATTGTCCCCTTCCAACTCAACCTGTCATTTTATGAAACAACATTATCCGGCATAGACGGTGTAAATTTTAAAAGGTCAATATTATGAACGTATAGAGATAAGTACTTACCATAAACAAGATCTATGCTTCAATAATATAATATCTGTTCTCTTAACAATTGGAAATGCTGCTAAAAACTTCTTTGAATCGATCCCTTTCTTCAAAGATAAAGGTCTTGGAGGAGCATGTGAACCCTTCAAAGACAAATACAGAGTATCCATTATTTATTCATTACTCCAACAAACAATTCATTCATACATCCAATTCCTGATCTTAACATATGCAGGCAGTATAAAAATTAGTCAGAATTTCTTTTACCTGAACCTGGTGGGTTACTAATGCCATTATGCCCTTCCAGTTTACCCTATCATTTATGCAGCAACATCATAAATAGCACCTGGAAATGCAATAATTGACTAATATCAGTTGAAGAAATCCACGTGAAACCATTGGAGGTATGTTCAGGCACATGTGAAATACAACTCTAGCATGAATCACCTATTTAATTAAAGAACATCCTACTCATTCCAAAATTGTCAAACTAAATAAAAAATGGGGAATTAGCGTTATCATTTGATTAATTTCATTAGCATTACTGAAAATACAGCCGCAAAGAAAAGGAATTTCACCCATATATATTAGTTTTTTCCATATAAAACATGGAAAATTAACTAATTCCCAAAACTCAGCAATATCGAGCTATACCTACCAACCTTCATGAAATTAAAACGACAAACTAGCCAAACACAATCAACCACAGAGTATTAATTTTATGAATTGCGTCAAAATCCCTAAAACCTGACTGACTTGAAATCATAGAGCAAAAGAGAGCTACCTGTATGCATAAGAAACGATTTGTAGCAGTAGCTGCTAGGATTGATGATTAAAATTGTCTTAATTGAGAAGCGATGACGAATTTGTGGGAATGATTGTAGAGTAGACGCACGGAGGATTGGGTGGGTGGGTTTACTTGTATGAAAAGAATTCACGAAACATTAGGGTGAATTCCTAAAAGAAACGAAAGCTTTATCTGTTATCTTCCAATGGAGTTTTGGGAGGAAAGATTATGAGAGAGAAAGAGAGGACGATGAAAGTGGTGAAAAAGAACGTGAATTCGGGGTCAAACTTTCGACTTGTTCCCGATAAGAAAATTTTAAACTTTTGTGTTCGAAGGAGGAAAAAAATAATAATAAAATTAAAATTTTCTTCATTTTCTTTTCAAATCCGTCCAATTTATGAGAAAATTTTGAAAAAAAAATATGGCTCAAAAATCTTTTACCTCTCCTCATTTTTTTTTCCATTAATGAAATTTGGAAACACGATTTTATTTCGACATCCCTCACTTTTTCTCCGTATCCTTCCATTTCTCTCTTTAGGGTTTTAAGGGATTTTATTTCCAATTATTTTAGAGAATTACATGAGTATAAAAGTGATGGTGGTCTATGTTATGTTGTGATTTTTAGACAAAACTGCAAAAATGGTCCCTGTGGTATGCAAATTTTAAGGTTTTAGTCCAAACCCCGAGTTTTTTAGATTCATGGTCCTTTTGGAGTGGTTTGTATGTGGAAATGGTCCTCGGATTTAACTTCCGTTAAGTTGTTGCTGTTAACCCTCTCTTGTGCCTCCCATATGAGGGTATATTTGTCTTTTCACTTCTAATGGACCATTTTTGCAATTGAAAAAAATATATCTCCATTTAAAAAAAAATTAATACTTATTTGTTTATTTTAATAATTAAAAAATAAAAGATCTCTCTCTCTCTCTCTCCGTCTCTCTCTCTCTCTCCTAAATGTCATTTAGGATTTGAAGAAAAAACCCAGATTGATTTCTTCAACTCCATCTCTCCTTCATCTGTTCTAAAACCAAAAACTCTATAGAAAGAAATTTACAACCTGCAATTATGAAGGAGAAACACACACACGCAAACAATGCTCTTCAATCGTATCTAAAATCGATGAAAGATTTGGGTGTTTTTCAATCAAAAACAGTAAATGTCATCTTCCCCATGTCAAAAAAACAAGCTAATGATTTACCAACAGTCGACTACAATCAAAATTAGGTAAACCATTTTCTACACCTTCTATTACCTCGTGTCTTGACAGAAACAGTCGTAATTTAACATAGTTAGCCCAAGACAATCCCAAAGCTGGAAGAACTCGTCTTCCAGATGTATACAAAGACTCCAGATTCCCAACTCAGACACCGATTGACATATTATTGTCTTCGATTGAGTCAACCATCTGGTTTGTAACCACAATCGCAATCCCACGACGCCTAGCGTGTGAATTTAGAATGGATGAGATATTGAAGAACAACGAGGACCCTAGCTTCAGATCTGTTAGATTGTTGTCAAAATCGCTTCTGAATAAAGCAACAATCAAATCAATCACAATCAAATTGATATCCAACCGGGTTTCCATACATGATAATGAGAAATATGAGGGAATAAAAGGAGTTACAGGAGAGAAATAAGGTGATAACATCTGGGCCCGTGTGCTCTGGTTCAACATTCGATTTCCATTGCAAAAACGAAGAAGATTAGATCACATAGAGCTTATGGCCGAGTTATCTGTAAAGTTCTTAGGTGGGATATCGATAGGCATCCTTCTGAAATTGTTACAGAGCATAAATCTAGTGAATTATAGGTATCCCATTACTGAAACTTTATTGAATTTGATTAAAAAGTTTATAATTTCTTGTATTTGCAGGGAAATGATGTTAATGGTGGTTGTAATTCGAGTTTTAACAAGATTAGGATGATGGGTCGTTGAATCGTGATGAAAAAGCTCATGTTTCAGAAACTGTTGATGATGAATCCATGGTTTGTGATGAGTCTCTAGCAAAAGCAAACGTAGAAGAAGAAGATACAAGATTATTTTTTGGAGAGAGAGAGAGAGAGAGATCTTTTATTTTTTAATTATTAAAATAAATAAATAAGCATTAATTTTTTTTTATAAAAATGGAGATATATTTTTTCAATTGCAAAAATGGTCCCTTAGAAGTGAAAAGACAAATATACCCTCATGTGGGAGGCACATGAGGGGGTTAACAGCAACAACTTAACGGAAGTTAAATCTGGGGACCATTTCCACTTACAAACCACTCCAAAAGGACCATGAATCCAAAAAACTCCGGGTTTGGACTAAAACCCCAAAAATTTGCATACCACAGGGACCATTTTTGCAATTTTGTCTGATTTTTAACATCTGCCGCATAACTTTTTCTATATTACATTTCTTGCCCTTCTAACTTCAAGTTTAAATTTTTCTAATTATTTTTTATGTTAAGTAGCGAACCTAGAGCAAAAAATTACGTTGTTCTCAAATTAAGTAAATCCGATAAAAAAAATCACCAACACTTGTGGGGGGTCGGGTCATGTACCTTGAAAAACTTGTACCAACCGGTTAAAACCGATCAGACACCACAGATTAAATTTTTTTAAGAAAACGACTGAAATATAATTGAAAAAAAAAACTCATACGGTTTAATGAAAAAAAATTGATTATTAGTATGTTGATAAAGTGGCGAACAGAAAGTGGAAGTCTTTGGCAGTGTCTGACGTCAATTCTAAAGTGGCGAATAGACGTGAGAAAGGCACAGTTGAGTTTTTTTTCACTTTTAGTTTTTTTAATTTATTTTTTCTAGATTTGTAAAAGTTAATGAATCGGAAGGAGTTGAGGCATTTGAGCTTTCTTTTATTAGAGCAATTTATATATTTATCGATATTTTGAGAGTGTAGATAAAAAGCGGTTAACTTTTTGTTATCAATCTCATAATTTAAAATAACAAACTGCCCCTAGTAACATAATTTTTTTCTCATTTTAAAATTGTTTTTAAGACATTTTTTTAAAAAACAAACTCAATGTATGTCTTTTATTTTTTTTTTCCAAAATAGTTCCTAATTTTTCTCCTATTTATATTATAAACAAAATTTAAATTTTAGATAGGTCATAGGACCTACCTTTAGTCTTAGTAGCTACACCTCTGATGTTAACTGTTTTTTTTCTTTTAAATTAAAATATGTTTCTACTAGTATAGAAAAAGTTATATGGCAAATAGAATGTTGATTGAAAAAAAAAATCTAGAGAAATTACAATTAAGTGCTATAAGTAAGATGATATAATAAAGTTTCACATTCAATTTAAATTAAAAACAATGGAAATTATAAATTTTACTTATTTATTATTTAATAAAGCAATATTAATCTCTAGAAGGTGTCCTGGAAAAATGGAAAGTCACAATTTCTAGATTTAGAAACAAACACTAAAGCAAAACTTAAGCATAAATTTGTGATTGTCTAAAAAGAAAAACAACACAAAACAACTCATTTCCTTTCATGGCTCGTTAGACGACTATTAAGGCCGTCCGGTATGGTTGCAACGGACGAGTTCGTGGTAAAGGTGGCCACGAACCACGACCGTGCACACCATCCCAGTGGCTCGTGGTGGTTCATGGTCGTGAGCGTTCATGGTCCGGA